AGGGGTGGAAAAAAAAGGGTGAGGGGGTATGATGACTGCAAGAGGGAGAAGAAAAGAACAGCAGAGAGAAAGACAAGGCCCTTAGAAACAGAACAAACATGCATGTGGTCATGCTAAGAGTGAACGGCAACAGTTCAGTTGTTTTGTTAAGGCAGAGGTGGGGTGGAGTTGTGTAACATGGTGTGTGTGTCTGTGTATGTGTTTGTATATTGTTAGGATGCTCATGATTTTCATGTTATTCATTTTAGAGACATTTCTGAGGAGATTAGATATATGATAATCCACTTGCATAAGGGAGAGGAAAGTCAAAAAAGTGAAAAGACAGGAGTTGCCAGATTTGGAGTTAAAAAAAAATTATTAAGATATAGAAAAAATGGAACTTCTAACAGCTGTACAAAACTTAGTAAACCACCAAAACTGTCCCAATCAGATAAACAGCACTTAAAGCTTTCATTTTTGAGAGAGGAGAAAATCAAGCTCCACTCTTGCATCAGATGTACACATTTTTCTGTTCATCCTTCCACTGTGAGAAAACAACTAAACACTATGAGTCTGAAAGGATGTGCAGCTGTCAATGAGCCATTACTGAGAAAAGAAAATGTGCAAATCAAACCAAGAAGCTGCTGATGTTCTCAGAACAATGGCCAAGAGTCCAGACCTCAACATCACTGAATGTGTTTGAGATTACTTGGATCGTGAGAAGAAGAAAATGCAACCAACTTCTAAGACTGAATTTTGGGGATGTTAAAAAACACTCCTGCAGATTTCTTTAAAAATAAAAGCAAGTCTTCTGAAAAGAATGTAAGCTGTAATAAAGGCAAAAGCAAAACACACTAAACACTAAAAAAAAAATTATATTTAGCTCTTGAGGCCTCTGTGAAACTTTCTGTTAAATGTTTTCTGCTTTTGTTCCTGATGCTGATAACTTAATAACTTGTATTTACTGGCCCTTTTGAATGGACATAAAGTAAATGAAAGGTGGTCTTTGACTTTTGCACAGTTCTGTACATATCTGACAGTATTACTACACATAGGCAGAGCTGCTCTCTTGCTGCATATGAGACACATTAGCAAAGTCCTTCTCTCAAAAAGATAATCCACAGTGCAGCAGTTCTACTTTCTGCGTCATCATGCTCCCTCATGCACCTGCCTGCCTCTCCCTTGTGAACCTCTGGTGCAGCTTAAAATATTTGTCCGAACTCAACGGGACATTACTAATCAAATCTGCTTCAGTCAGCTCTGGACATCATTTGGGTCAAGTTCAGATTTCACGTTCAGGTTCCTGACATTCCGCCTCCCTCCTTTAATGAATGTTTGCCTGCATCTAGACCTCCTTTATTTCTTCTCCTTTCTTTATTCTTCCCGTCTCATTTTATTTACCATAAACCATTTTAAACCGGCAGGTTGGAGTTCTTTGTGTTACTGGCAGTGAGGTAACAGGGCCAGTGCGTGGGCAAAAATGGACATTTGTGAAGTAAAGCAAGTTTAGGTTGGATTCAGACTGAGTTTAGTTCACGTTAGACAGGTGGAGAACACTGTACGGCTGTGTTTTATAACGTATTATATTGTGTTACAATATATAGATGAAATATTGCTGCTGTTTTAACAGAACCTCACATTTTCAGAGTAATAACTTTATAGGAGAAGGAAAAATATTCTTTATATCAACTTTAATGTTTGTAACAAAATGTTATTTTTAAATAACTTGTACCATTTCTACTGATCCATTCTTCATGAAGTTTTCACACAATGTAAAGGGCAGCTAGCACTTTCAAGCACAAAAGTGTCATGTTCTCTGGCTTTTTTCGGATTCGGTTCAAAAATTCAGGCCCTATCAAATCTGTAACCTTTGTGCTTTCTCTGCTCAGCTCATACATACACCTCCACATTCCCTACGGACACATGAATAAAGAGGTGCACGAGTGGAGTCGACACCAGCCTGTTGGCTGCAGAGGAATTGAGCTCCATTACTGTGGACTGAAAAAGCCAACAGTGAGAACAGACTCTGCAAACCCCGCTGGAGATAAATGAACACAGCAGAATGAGAAGGAACTCTGAACTATCACATGCAGTCTGCTGCCCTCCTTGCTTATCTACTAAACCCTTTTGTGTGTGTGTATTAATAGAGAATCAACACTGTGGCTTAACCATCTCAACCTTAAGGGTCTGCATGTGGGCCCACACCTCTATTCTTCACCCTTATAAATACAAAACTTACATATTAGTTTTACAGTAGTTACTAAATAAGGCATAGTAGTTCCTGAATAATGAGTCTCACTACTATTACAGCTCCCATTCATTTAGGCAGAAGTGTTTTCAGTTTTGAAAGAAATCTGCAGGGATATTTTTCCATACCTCCAAAGATCAAAGATCACCTCTTAGGGTCTTAGAGGTCTTAGAAGTTGGTTGCATTTTCTGCTTCTCAGGATCAAAATAATCCCAATTACACATTTAAACCTATCAGTCCATAAAATCTTACTCCTGAATAATAAACCTAGGGTTCACTTTATCAAAGCGTTGTTTGTGGACTATATGCTGCTTTGTCTGGGGCTGTTCTGTTCTTATGAATAACTAAATGTTGGAGCATTAGCAAAGTAAATTTATATGAGCTCATTTCTCTCATTTCCAAACCTATATACCATTCCTGATACGGGAATGTACGAGGACTAAGCAGTCTACCAAGCCATTCTTTTCTTTCTTTGAGGGAAATTCTGCACATAGATGCTGGGATGTATAGAAGCATCTGCTGCTTTAAATCTCTCATGGTCACATGTTGATAAAATTCCACTGGGCCTCTCAGCGCCATATGTGGAAGCATGAATTCCTATGAATAACACACTCACCACAACTGCCTCACAGAGCACAAAAAAAAAAATAATCAAGTGTGTAAATTGCATTTTTACAAGCTGTGGGACAGTTTAGGTCTGGCTGCATATGCTGAAGTCATAATTTATACTTAATGCTACAGCTATTCCCATATGAAAACAGAATGTATTTGTGTGATGCTAGGGTATTTATTATTCTAAAATGTAAATAGACTCTATTGCAATGTACTTTAAACTAGAGATGGTAAGCACTTTTTCTAATTTATCTTGTTTCTGTTACTGATATTGATTGGAACCTTGATTGTTAGCTGCTACTGGTATGGATCTGATATTTTTTCCTTTAAAATATTTAATATGAGCTATTTTCAACTGAAGTAGTTAAATCACACATAATCTACATCTTTTGGTCTATGAATGACATTTGTGTGTCATAATTCATTTTACATGACCATTTTCCAACCTCTCTTCATCTTTATCTCGCTATTTTGCTACTGTGCATTTATGTCTGACTAGATGTAAATATTATCTGGTTTGACTGGCTGCTCTGTATTGTGCCTTATTTAAATAGCAGTGTAGTCTGAAACACTTCTTATAACTTCAGAGCGAATGGACGGAGCTAAACTACTTGACTGAACAGGTGAATATATGCAAATGCTTTTGTTCTCATGACATGAAAAATAATAAAAGTGGGCCATTTTTGCAGCTTAATTCCTATACAGGGACTGTATGGACTGGAGAGTGAACGGTACATTAATGTGACTAAAGGCCATCTAAACGTAAGTTATCATGCTCTAACTACTTAAACACTCAACTACCCAGCAGCACGAAATGCATTCCAGCATTTTCTGCTGATATCAGCATGAGACAGGTGCCATCTCTTTTTTCAACAGATTGCGTTTTCATATGGGTTTACTACTGATATTCAGACCCTGAGACAATGCACCTTCCAACCATTTTCACATACTTCCATCACCTAGTGTTGCATCAAGTTGACTAACACTCAGATGAACTGACCAAACTTGAACCTTTTCAGCATCTTTGAATGTCCAAAATATTACAAAGGGCCTATATCAGAAAATAGATAGGGTTCTATGTAAGCAAGCCTAATACACTCTGGTGCAGAGGGATAGAGTTTGATCTGGCATTCTTACCTTAGGCAGGCTGCTTGTATGGACTCCCAGCCTTGCGATGTACTGAACACAGTCCTACACTTCTTCTTCTGCTTCACTCTCTCTATCCACCCAAGTGCCTCAATCTGTGTCTCAGACTTTTTCCTGAGAACTCTCTAACTCTGCATCCATCTCCCCCTCCCCTTCCTGCTCCCTAATGTCTTTTGGCCTATCAGAAGGCCCCAGCCTCAGAGGCTGCTCTGTCTAAAGTTGTAGGGTGGGTCTTTGGCATGTGGCCAGCAGCTCTGCCGCTTGTTCTGTGCTCTTTTCTCTAAGGGCCAGTGCTGAGGTCGTGAGAGCTCAGAGTGCTTCAGAAAGAGCAGTGCAGCTATGTCAAGCAGGGTGCTGGGTGATGATCATGACATCAGTGCATGTGTTGTGCTGTGCTGTGCTTTGCATTTGTGTGTATGCAACCAGCTGCAGACGTTCAGTACCAGTGCAATTACAACAACTGAACGCGATGTGAAGAAAACCACAGACACCACAGTACACACAACAACTCACAGACCAGGAACAAATAAAAAGAGAATTGCACTAATTCTTCAAAATTTCTGCTTAATTCAGTCATGGAAGTGAAAACAAAGTATTTCAGAGTGGCCTGATGAATGAGGTATTATAGAGAAACTTACAGGCCCCGATTTCTTTATAGTGGTGGTCAGAGGAACAAGGGGTCACAATGTCTGCAACCCAAATGTAGCCATTTTATTTACTATACAAGAGACCAGTGAACCTAAACGGCTTTTGTTTTTCCTGTGTAATGGTAGCTTTAAGAGTCACCACCCCTGTGAACAATTCTGTTATTTGATGTACTGATCCTGCAAGGAAAAATATACCCAGTGAGGGAGCAACACAGCAGAGCAGTGGGGAGTGCCCAATCAGGTATACACAGTAAGTCCTGGAATTTGAATGCTCTACCTTCTGATTACTGCTGGAATTCTCTTTTCACTGAATTTTTTCCACTCCAGTGTTTACTGGCCTGTAGGACACTGACAGGCAGGTCACTCACCTCCAGAACTTTCCCTGTTATAAACTGATGGCAGGCCTCACACTGCACCCCAAAGTGGATCTGATAGTCCCTCTCACAGTACGGAGCTCCATCCCTGACAAAGAGAAAGTGAGCACATTTACTGTCTGGGATCAGTGGTGGATAGTAACTAGCTCCCTTTACAGATATTGAAGTAAAATTTTGGTGGATTAGTACTTCTCTGAGCATTTTTAAATGTTAATACTTTTATTTATACTCATGTTTGTGAGAAAAGTAATCTACAGTTATATTTTAGTCATTTATGTTTACTTACTAATTCACATATTGTTGGTTCAGCTGGAATGCTTTGCTGTTGAATAATTTAGTGTCTTATTTTAGACCAAAAGGATCTTACAAAGACAACAACAGCACCTATTAAATGTTGGTAAGGGTGAATGCAATTTTTGAGATTGCAATTATTTGTGATTACGATTTAAATGTGATTATATAAAATTAAGACCCGGGCTTTTTGTCACCAAAGAAAACAGCACATTTTTACACTGAATGTAGTGTGCTGGACTGCCAGTTCACAAGCTCTATGTAATTAGGTTTAATATTCCTGATTAAAACTTGTTAAGACAACATTAATTAATCTAGGATACAATTAAAACTGCAATTCTTGTGATTTGACACTGCAGTTTTTAAGCTTGTGATTGTGATATACAATTGATTCAACCCTTTTTGCTGGCTGTAGAAAGAGGTATGTAGTATATACACGGCCCACTGCAGTTCTATAAGTTACTTAGTACTTCAGTAATTTGAACTGCTGCTTTTTTGTCCAGGACAGTCCCTATTAATATACAGTATGAACAGAAAATGAGCCAGAATAGCCAAAAAGGCGTATTTTTATCTCTTGTCCCTGGCCAGATGTCAAAAAAGCACCCTAAACTAACTGACATTCAAAAATACAGTATTAACACATAAACATAAACATAAAAAAAACTCATCTGCACTCATCAAAATGCACATCTAGCAAAATACATAGCTGCATCTTTGAGCAATGTCTGAGAAAAGCTTATGAACTGAAGGATAATAACATACACTGAGAGATAAAGAGAGAGAGATTTAAGCCGGACTCACTTGCTGATGTACTCTCCACTCAGCACTTTGCCGCAGGCTTTGCACTTGAAGCAGCCGAGATGCCACTGTCTGTCCAAGGCCAGCAGAGCCTGTCCATTCTTTATATCCCTGCCACAGCCTGCACAGTCTGCACAGTAAACATACACATTGACAGAGGTCAGCCTGTGCTGCAGAAGATGACACGTATGGTTCTGATTACAAACACGGCATATATTTGTATAGAAAACCCAGTGCTCACTCTTAGTGGTCATCTCAGTATTTCAATAAGCACTCATGCATACACATGCATAAACACATCCTCAAAGATCCATTCTAGCCACTAGGTGGAGGTGTGAGATTACATAAACCCAACAGCCGGGGGGATCACACCACACCTGACTCAATGACTCACTACTTCACTACACGTTACAGAGCAACAGCTCCAGATACAATAAAGCCTATTTATCTGCAGGTTGGTAATGGTCTGCCTGGAAATGTGTCATTAGGTTCATTGGTGAATCATCATTAATTTGCCTGAGAGCTGGGCTGACTAAGCCCCTTCTTTATACTACCAGGGGCTGCTTTTTATAAAGCGTGAGCATTAGCATCCTTCTGTTCAGAAAAGCAGCCTTCGTCATGAGCAATATGGTGGAAGTGTGCATGCTTAATGTGTGTAAAGGTTGGGCTCTAAAAATAACTCAGGATTGTCATCTTGTATTTACATCCGTTGGCTGAGATCCCAAAAGCTTTTTTAAAAGGCTGGAGCGGAGGAGAGCTGAGACACACACACAATGCCGGAGACTGATGTTGGAGCAAAATGAAGGTGCATTTTACTCCTCTTTAAACCTTCACTAACTTCATCCGCCTTCATCTGCCATCCTCTGATGCACTCACCTATTCCCACTTCTAGTATATGTAATATACTCTGGTCAAATGACAAGCTTTGTTGGTTTTCTGAGTGAAAATAAGTTAAAACAGAACACCGTTCTGCACATTTTTATGCACAATTACTGTTTATTTGCTGAATTTAACATATTGGTAAAAAACAACAACAAAAGACTGTGTAAAAGTTATGGCACGTTTTATATTTTATGTTTTATTTTTTCCCCTAATATGTCAAACTCAGCAAATAAATAGAAACTGTGTAAAAAAGCCATATTTAAATCTGTTCCCTGTAGGCGATGAATTAACTTATTTTCACTAAAAAGAAAGTTAAGTTTGCTTACAACAGCATGTTTCCACATTAACAGTACACTGATAAATGTAACATAAAACATTACTTTGAAGTAAAAATGAATAATTTGTGTCTTTGAGTTTTGCTTTCCACCCCTTCCCACCAAATGATTAAGCCATAAAAATAATGTACTGCCATATTAAATGACATGTTGAGGAAAACTGACATTTAAGTCTTCAGAAGAGACAACATCAAAAGCTGGTAAGTTTTGCTTTTACTCAACATTGATCATTTGTTATTTTCTCCAGGGGTCCATCAAGCATATCATGTCCACCCTATTACACATAGAAAACTAACAGACAGCAGGCAGCCAGGTTAGCCTGAAATATTCCAACCCTGTCACATTCCTCTCCATCACAAGCTCAGTGTAATGGGGTTATAATACTCATTGTTATTTTACACAAAAAATATAAAAATGGTTACTGAGGTAGGAAAATGTTTTTGGGTAAGAGTAATATGCAATTCAAACTGGGGGCAAAAAAACCCTGTGATTTCTTGAAATGAGAGAAATGTCAAATCTGCAATGCATACGATATGAGTAAATGAACAGACTTCTACTGGACACTGCCATTTCCACAACATTTTACATTCTAAATGGATGATTTTATCATTAAAATTATTTTAAGACCTTTGTCTACAAAAACACTGTTAAGTTTGTGCCTGCGCAATGAGGGCTGCCAATGTTTAGTGCAATACAATACAAAATACTCAGTCTATTTGTCAAGTTATCTGCCTCAACATTTGATCATCACTTTTAAAATGTAAGTCATTCTGGATGTGTACTTTTGGTGCTGTACAGCTGTTTCATAATCACTGACCTTTCCTATCATCAGTATGGCACATCTAAATTATCTTAATACTTATTATTTAAAACCTGTAGTTGTACAGGACCAGCATATTAGAAACATTTTATACATGTGTCTTCAAAAAATTTGTTTTGAAGACAATGACTCCAAATTATTGAAGGGTAGTGTATATATATATAGAGAGAGAGAAAGAAAGCGAGAGAGATAGGAAGAGCAATAACTTTCAAGGAGACCTGTGTTCTCTCCTGCTGTCAGGAGGCACATCAACATCTCTGTACTCTCAGAACTGTGTGTTTTAGAAGTCTATAAAAAGGCTATAAAAGCTATAAGGACTCTGCAGAGTTTGCAAAATCCACAAGGCCACCAGCAGCCATGCAGTTCATAAGTGCCTTCCAAAACAAAGCGCTTATCAGGACTAAAGAATTTCATCAGTGACCAATCACTCCGCTGCCCCCTGAATGACAAATTATCAGCCAAGCATGACACAAAGAATCATTCACGGGTGCACTTCAGAAGAAAGGCATGTGTATGTGTGTGTTTCTGAGCGCAGACAGTGGAGCTCGCTGTGTTTCTTATGCAGGTACAATCCTCAATAAATAAACATTATTCTCTAAAATGTGACAACAATACCATGTCATTTCTCTCATTCTTTAATTACCAGTGCATTTGTTCACCAGCTTTTGGTTCATAGCTTTAGACTACTTGAAATCTTCTTGGCCATGCAATTCCTGTAATCTTTAATAAACAATCATAATTTGTTTCTCATTGAACCTCTGCAACATAATAAATAACAGTTGATATCCAGGAATCTTAATGAAATTTGGATGCCTGAATGAGGACTCGAGTAAAAGAAAACAATAACGTCAGGCATGTAAAAAAAACTCCAAGCCATTCAAACAATGATGGACAACTAAATCTGCACAACTCAATTTAGAGAACAGCCGGAGCCGGATGGCCGGAGAATGTTAGTGAAAGAGACAGGACCGGTATGCGGAAATCTGAGGGCAAAGAGAAGCTCTATTCGTTGGCTGTGTAATTCTCTCTCTCTCTCTCACTCTCTCTCCTCTGCTTAGTTCCTGGGGCCCTGCATCTTGAATTACCCCGCGAAGCCCCTAATCTACCGCAGAAGGATGAGGAACTTCCTCTGAGTGAGAGAGATTGAGAGAGAGTAAGCGAGTGAGAGAGAGAGCTGTTCTTTGGTTGACAGCACAGGAGCCGAGCCACAGTCAGCTCAAATGACACTGCAGGAAGCCGAAGGAGGGTTTGAAACTTCATTAAAACCTTATTAAGACGTCACAAAACTATTGTAAAGCATCTTTTTGGATTACTGAGTTTCTCATTACACGAAAGAAGACCAGCTTTTAAAATTCCTCTTCACAGAAAAAGTTATTTCTTATTTTGTGGCCTGCGAACAACATTTGCAATACATCAGCATAAGAACTACAGGAGGTGGATTAATTTTACCAAAAAACGTTCAGTAATGTCATTTGTAATTTGTAAATGAAATTTGTTGTTTATTTATATAGTTCACAGTAACTCACACTGTGTCCTGAGAGAAGTTTTGGGGATGTTTTTACAGAAAAGATTTGGGTGACTATTGACTTGCGTTTATTAGCAACAGTAGCCTTCTAGCTCCAGTGCTAACCTAAAGAAGCAAAACTTGGACAGCAATGATGTCTCGACTGATTGATTATAACTGGGTTAAATAGTGCATTGGATTCCTTCAAATGTGTAATTTGTATGCAGGATCCCACAGATAGCCGAATCGAAATGTCAGGTCAGCAAAGTCAATGTCATTGTCAGCACTTCACGATGGATGTGACACTCAATAACAATAAAAAACACAGTGCATGGTTATGTCTATAAGAAGGCTTTGTTATTACATTACCAAGGTGCCATTTTGAATAATACTGCTATGACTGGGGGAGCTCTGGTAATTCAGCCAATTACAGAAGATAATTCACTCTGGAATTATTGCTGCCAAACTTGTAAAAACTATAAACAGATGCAGATTTGTGCTGGATTAAAATCTCATCAGTAATCACTTAAATTATAGTAATTTCAAGGTGAGATGAAAGCAACTCAAATAGGGCTTCAGATGAGGCCAAATATCTGTCTAAATTACTGGCCTATAGAGCTGTAGTTTATTATGCAGAATAACAGAATCACTGGAAGAACACTCCTTTCTAGTGTAGCGCACTGAGCACAGGCTAACACACACATCCACACACACACACACACACAAACACACATATCCACACACACACACACACACACACACACACACACACACACACACTCACACACACAAACACACACACATAATGACTCACTACTGGAAGCGCTGATGTCTTTTGGAGGGGGGGACATTGGCTGGACGCAGTGCTGGCAAAGACAGTCCTTTCCATTGAAGGTGACGCGGTCTCCAGCAGGAAACGGTCGTCTGGATCAACACAAAAAGAGCTGAGGTTAAACACAACAAACTGTCAAACACATGCTGTAATTTACTGCCAATCGCTGAAAAAGAAATAGAAAAACACGTAAACTATCTCGCTGTGATCTCACTGAGTTCTCAGAGTGACTTTATTACTTCACTCCTGAACTGACTCCTGAGTTCTAAGACATAACTACTTTTGTTCTATATAGGTACTGTGCTTGCAGTTTGGAGTATAACTTATATAACGGAGTGTAACTTCAGACACTAAATATGTCCTGGCTGGAAACCTGTGTAAATTAGATTTTTCCCCAATTATTGCTTTAATAATGGAATGGTTATGCGAGAAATCAAATTTACATAATCAGCTGAGACATTCTTTTAGCTCCTTTAGTTTAGTGCGGGAACTATGAAGCTAACATTGCTAGAAGTCAACAGTCACCCAAATATTTTTCATAAATACAGCCAAAAAACTTTTTCTTAACTTGTTCAAACTGCATCCTTTAAGAAACTACAGAATTCGTGAATGGACTAGCATCTATACGCCACACAAAAGGAAGTCAGAATTTGGCACAACACCTGTTGTGGCTGAACAGCGTGAAGCACACTAACAAGTCTGCACAACCTTAATGAAGACCTGGAAGTGGTTTAAGAGCAGTTTTGGGGATGTATTTACAGAAAAGATTTGGGTGACTATTACTTCTAGTGTTAACCTTGCAGCTCCTGTTCTACACCAAAGAAGCAAACATGTCTTGGATGAATGACTACACTTGTGGTGAGTGAAACATTTGATGTGGATCAAATTTTATGATCCTTTGCACAGTTTGCAGGTGTTGTATATGTGTGTATAGGAAGGTGCAGGTGTGCATAAGCAGGTGGGTGTATATTTGTATATGTGCTCACACTGTAAATCTGTAAATCTGGTACTGTTGACAAGACAAAGCTTGTGTGCTTGTGTGTCCATCTGTGTATACATGTATGTATGTTTACATGTCAGTGCTACTGACTTGCAGATGGTGCAGACGAAGCATGCAGGGTGGTAGGTCTTCCCCAGGGCTGTCACTACTTCTCCTTCAACAAAATCCCCACAGCCGTTACAGCGTGTCCCGTGCAGTCTCTGATAGTCCAGCGTGCATAAATACTCTCCATTCTTCATGAAGAATCCCCCTTGTGCCAGGTCACAGCCACACACTGAAAACACACACACACAAAAGCGTTCCAATAAGTTGAGAGTTGATATTTTATTTTCGCTTTCTTCTATTTGTTTGATGTCAACAAATAACAAAACATATGGCAAAAATGTGAAGGTTTTTCTTTCCATCAAACTATGCAGACAATTACTTTCATCACTTTCCACAGAACTTCTCACCTATGAACCTATGAGTCAGAAATAACTCTCATTACACCATGCTATTGTTATCAGTACCGATAACGGCAACTTCTAAGAGTTAAGTCTATGTTTATTGCAAAATAAAAGCCCTCTTAGACAAAAGCAGATGAATTTTTAAGTGAAACACCTGATGCCAGTCTCTTAATAAAATAAAAAAAACAAAAAAACAAACAGGCTTTCACTCTCCATGATATATGTATCTTCTCTTTCGTACGGGATGCTTTTTGGATACTTTAGTGTTGGTGTTACCACATTCTCTATTTTGGTCTGTGGTTCTAAACTGACTAGACAGTGACCACTTTGAAACCAACTTTAGTAAAATACGTTGGACCAATATAAGTTAAATCAACACCAGTAAATCAAGTGAAGTGAAGGAGTGAAGTTAGAAATGTTAGTTAGAAATGTAATAGCAGATTAAGTTTAATAAATTTAGGTAAATTATGCTGGATCAATAAAAATGCCTTTTAATTATGTGGAAAGAGTTTTTTGAGTATTGCGTGCAACTACACATTTCTAGCAGAGAGGTCTCTAGATCTCTAAAATCCCCAAATTCCGATACCTTCCACAGTGCAGCTTTAAAAAATTTCACAGAAATTCAGATATGTCTGGGTGGTGAGCTGGTAGGCCTGTGTCCTTCAGGCTAGGCTGTATGTATGTGGCGGTGTTCACAGGCGAGGTGTGTGTGATAGTTCTTTGGCAGGCGAGAGAAATAGATATCGTCTTGCTTATTAAGGCCCATTCAATATTCACTCTTGTCCATTTCTTGATCTCCAACCCCACACCCACTCTTTGGATTTTCACAGAATTACGCTGGAGTAAGAACATTTATAAATACCCTTCCTCTAGCTCCACGCTGTAATTGTGTTGAGCTTTGTGGATGTGTGTAGTTCAGTGTAGGGGGATCCATGGTTAGATTTTTTTATTCTGCATGTTGATGATGGGGGACACAGCTCACTCCCTACAAAAACAGTCTGAAAGGTTAAATAAATGGGACCGTAACTTTGACTTGGTGTTGGGCGCTGCGCGCCAACCACTCTGGACAAAAACACTGAAGGGCTAAATGCATAATTTACTTTAATAACACACATAATAACGCAAAGGAATGCATCTGCAACGGGATCTGAGGGTAATGGAGCGAGGCAGCACTTTTGGCCAGATCTGTGGCCAGAACAGGGTAGATGTGGATTGATAACGCAGCTCAAACGCATTCACATTACTGGGCAGCACTTTGTGGTTAAAACTGTGTTATTCTAAATTATGCTTTCAGGGAAAAAACTATTCTTCTAACCCCATTCCTGACCCCAGCAGCTCAGGGCCTCTCTCTGAACGGCCGTCTTCATTTGACAACCTCACTATTATTTGCGAGGAGATTGCCATGGCGACAGACAAAATGTGACAAGCAGGTGGCCGTGGCGACGGTCGTCATTAGCAGCAGAGGACTGGTTGTGTAAGTGGCTCTCTGGCTGGCGTTTGAGTAACCTTCAGCAGCCATGCAGAGCGCCACAGCTACAGTGCAAGAAATGTCAAGCCCCTTAACCAGGATAAGCATACACAAACATACTGGTATTAATATTGTATTATTAACATGTTATTAACATTTTTCCTCATATGGACCAGGAACATGTCCCAACACTATGGGTGTAAATCTCTGACCTCAAAACTATGGATGCACCAAAATTTCAGCCACTGAAAATCCTTGCCTTAAAATATTTAAAATTAAACAGTATTTTCACATTTCAGCTGAAAGAGTAAATTGGCCAGTTGTAACAAAATATCAAAGATTAAACAGGCCTACAATGAAGTGTCAAAATCAAATACTCTTAATGGAAATGAACATGAGAAACTGTGTTTAAAACGCTGTTTGTTTCCTTTCATTTTCCTGGGCTGGTCAGCACTGACATGTTCAAAGAGTTTGAGCAGCAGTAGATCAACAATGAATACTGTGGAGCTATGTTACAATTGCTAAACATTACACAAGTGATTTATAATCTCTGTTCAAGCTAAATATCAAAAGAGGTTACAACACCAGAACTTCTCCACTACACATTTGATTGCACTTGAAATACACACAACATGTGAAACAAAAAGAAAAATCCCTGCCAGCACGCTGACACCATCTGTAGCCACAGGTTTGAAATCAGGAAATAATTCACAAATGACAGCAACAAAGTGCTAAGTATGACTAAAAAACATAATGGAATTCATTACTTTAGATGACCAACTGCTCACTGTTGTCAATGGCTTCATAACATATGCATAAGTATCAAAATAATGCATTTACAAAGCAATATTAATCAATAGCTTTTGTTATTAAAAACAAGACGACACAAGACAATTTTTGAAATTTTGAGGGCCCTAAAATAAACTCACATTTATTCAATTTATAACATTGTTTGGGAGCATTGTTCTAAAGCAATGGCTCTTACAAGGCCGTGGTAGGAACGCCATATATCTTCATACCTTAATGGAAACTGTACCTTTGTACTGAAATATATATTGAACTTATGTATGGTGTTCTTAGCCTAGTGTAGTATAAGGCTTCATTACTCGGAATGATGCTTCATAACGCTGTTATACATGGAAAAAGTTCCATAACTTTAACTAATATCAATACAATGTAATTTGCTTAATAAAACATTTTATATCATCTTGTGATACATGACATAGGTGACATAAACTGTTCATAAGTTCATGAATATTCGAGTATTACTTTATAAATATGTTATCCAATATTTCTGCATGACTTGTGTAGTCCCTATGTAAGTAAACATTATCAAATAAATTTATAATGAAGTATAAGCGAGTTCAAAATCGATACAGCTGAATCCCCACCTCTAGACTGATGCAATTAAAATGCATTGATACCTTTACATCCTCACAAAATCAAACTTTTTTACATTTTTGCATCATAATGACACACAAAAATATGCACAAACAAATCCTACACAGAAACATCAACCACATGGCTCTCAGAGCTCCACAAAGCTCTTTGTTTCTTCTCACAGAATCAGGGAAGTAATTACAGAGAGCCAGACGCGGGCCTAAGCAGTCACTTAGAGAGGATGGTGAGGGAAGTGTGACAGTGCTCCTGTGTTCAGCTCGAAGGTTCTCTCTCACTTCAGGGTCACTTCAGTCTGTAATCTCGCTCAGCAATCAGAGACCATCACAGTGTAACATTCACTTCCACACTGTGCTGCCAGGAACTCCCGTCAGAGAGAAAGTGAACGATTCATTAGCACTGGAGGACAGAAACTAGAACAATGGGGCAGTCGCAGAGCAGCTTTGTGTTCTGCTACCTCTCTCAGTGTCCTCCCTGCTCTCAGTTAGTGCAGTGATGTGTCTCTTGCTGCTCATTTGCTGAATGTTATACAAGCTTTCATTCACTGCATTAATATTTCACTGGACTTCCCCAGAATGCTGGTAATTCCCTTATCTCCGCTGCACTAGTCCGTCCTTCCTCTCCTGCACCTCTGTGTGAATTGAGGTGAATGATACAGTAAAATATATGACATTTTGATACTTATGCATTGTGATCATAACTATATCACAATATTTCACTTAGTTGAGGTTTGTGGAGAAGCGAGAATGGATAAAATGCACCAATAAAACAGTAAAATAAAAGACTAACAAAATGAGAGCTACTTAAACTAAATAAACCATTTGAGAAGGAACTGTAGGGAAAATAAATATATACATCAGTGAATGTAATAACACATAGAATAACGGGCTGACATCCAATCAGCTACTTGTTACTATGCAGGTTATGCAGCTGGATGCATGCAGTGATCTAGAAGTGCTGAAGATGCCATGATATACTCGTAAAAGTGTAGCATGGTACTGTTATCACAACAGCAACAACATATTACTATATTGCCCACCTCTAGAACAGATGTTAGCCTGACATCCAGAGCATAATGACATAGGCATGTGAAAAAGGCTTTGTTTGTAATTGCTCCATATATACTATAATGATCCACACAATTAGACCAACTGCATGCCATGTGAAACAGCCTTGTATGCCTCCTCTCATTTGAAACTAAGACTGCAGCTGTCTTAGTGAAAGCACTCGCCCGAAAGACGTGTAAATGCAGAGCTCTTAACTGTAATACTGTTTTATCCTGATGCACTTTCTCATTCTTTGTGGTCAACCAGTGGAGCAGACAAAATGAAGCCTAAATAAGGCCCTTGGCAGGAAACAGCTCTTGGCATGCACCTTAGCTTTCAAACTCTCCTCATTATCCATGTGGAGCTAGCAACATCATCATCACCACAATGCAACGTAACAGCATGATAGGCCTGTCCAACTCGATTAGCCTCGATGGGTCTCCTCTGACTGAGGGGGCTGTTAGCCTCACAGCAATGCTAACAGACTACAGTCTGCTGTGTAGAACTCAAAAACACGGACCAAACATTCATCAAGACATTCTTAAAGCTGAGAATTTGTCTGGTTTTGGTGGCAGATGTGGTGTGACAGGCCGCGCAAATTAAGTAAACGGGTTTTAATGGGGACGTGTTAGTCATGCTGTGCACATTCTGGGGTTCAAGACTACGTAGTTAGACTACGGGATTTAATATGGAGTACACTGCAGAGTTGAGTGGGACCATACACTGTATAACTGAAACGTAATATCTTAAGAACCATTGTTGGTTGCTGTGCCAGACTGTGCTGCAATTAAACGTTCGTCTTTAACAAAGTAGAAAAATAGAACAATAATAAGTTTAATGTGAAGCTACACTATGTGTGTTTTGGGGATATGGAGACCTCTGTGGTGAAAATGTGTAATTGCAACAAAGCAACTTG